CCTGAAAAGCCAGACTGGGGGGGGGGGGGGGGGGGGGGGATAGCTTGCCGTAGACCAAACAAATGCATCCACGGTATCAAACGCAGGAGGAACCAGGAGCCGGAATCACGCCCTTCCGCTACAGTAGCATGAGAGACAACAAGGCCGACCCATCCGCACGGTGCTAGCGCATAGAGAAAGCGAACGCAAGCACACCGCGCGCCGACAAACAGCGACAACAATGACAAACGACAACAACAAGCAACTACGAAGACGGCACCACGACGAAGACCACAACCACCATCACTACCACCACCCTCACCACCCCCAGCACAAAAGCTAGAGACGGCAACGACACGCAAGACCAAGACGACGCACCTTGTCATTCCCGAAGTAGTTGGCCTCTCCGTAGCACCGCATGTCGAACAACCGGCAGCTAGAGTCATCCGAGCCGGTGCCGAATGCCTGGGGAACCAATCATGCAGGGGGGCGGGGGTCATCCAAAGCATGCATGGAGTCGTTTGACCAATGAACGATTGCCTGTGTCTCAAACGGCTAACACCCAGATGTCTGGTGTACCCGGTCGTAACACCCGGCTGCGTGGCCTCTTGGGTAGGTATGTGATGCTGGAGAGTACCTGTGTCGGAGCCCCTCGTTGCTCCGTGATATGCCTTGTGATGTTTGAACCTATACAGATGTTCTTGTGATTAGCACCGGCTGGCATCACTGGTAATATTTCAGTATAAAGGCTTAACTAGACTCGAAATAAGCCCAGTTTTCAGCCGGTTTCCCTCCACTCACTGCAAAGACTCCAACACATCCCCTTCGACTGTGGTTATATCTCGAACGGGTAGTCTCTCTGTCTTTGCATTAATTGTTCCTAATATGCCTCTCTCTGTCTCTCTCCCTGTGTCTGTGTGTTTCTGTCTCTCTCTCTCTCTGTGTTCTATCGTGGTGGTGGAAAACAAAACGCAGTTTAGAGTGGCTTCGCTGCTTGGGTCATGCTCTCGCCGTCCGGATGCGCTACGAAGCTCGCCTACCATCCTTTGGTCTAAAAGGACACCCGACTACTCCCCAGCCGAGAAAATTTTAACGGCCAACCATCTGATGGTCAGCAAAGCAAAGCAACGCCATGAACCTTCACCGGAAACAACAAACAAAAGAGGGCCACGGAAAGCATGCTTCCAACAAAAAAAACGAACTTGGATTGAAACTAATTGCCCCCCCTTGCTCGCCCATTTCCCCGCCCTCAAAACAGTCAGTCATCCGGCTCATGATTAAACAATTCCGGCGTGCCGCACCTTGCCGTCTGGGAAGAACATGACCGAGTTGATGTCCGACTCGTGCCCCTGGAAAGTCTGGACGCACTTGCCCTCGCGGATATCCCACACCTAGCGTTCGTTGGTATTTGTCATCATAGGTGTACATGTATAGGCTTTAACAAGATGAACAAAATATATATGCTTCAAATGTACTTCGTGGCACCGTATGACCGACCAGAAACACGCAGGGAAACATCAACACTCGAATAAAAGCAGTACCGAGCACAAGTAAGAAACAAGGTACATAACGTTGTTTATTTAGTTATTCTTCGCTGGTAGTAGAGAGCCGAAATGCTTCCAAGAGGCACGGCAAAAACCCAGCGGGAAAGGCTGCGGAGAATGATGCCCACGGACGGCAACAACAACGACCGCATCGTCTCGGTGCTCCGGTCCGGAAAAACGAGGGGAACAAGAGGCTCAAGAACGGAAGGGAAGGACGGGTGGTCTCTGGCACGGTCCATGATCGTGGCCTTTATTTTGTTTTCAACCGCATGAGACTAACGCATTTTCATTGGTCAGCCGGTTAGCGCGGTCGACGCTAGCAATAATAAAAAAAAAAAAACACACACAAACCTTGATCAGCCGGTGAGCGCGGTTGACAATAAAAACATATATACACACCTTAGCGAGCGAGTCGCACGATCCCGAGACGAAGACGTTTTTGTCTACGGACGGCAGGATCGAGACGGACATGACGTCACCACCGTGGTCTGTGAAATGCGCCTGTAATTTTCACATTCACGCAACACACATTACAACGAGAAAAAGAACAATAAGCGGGTTACAAACGAAGGCACTTCTGTCGCAACGAAGATACAGAGCGGGCAGGTGGTACCGGAAGGGGAGCGATGATAAACCACCACCCGAGGGCAGCCCTCTGCTGTAGCTACTGTTGCAGATGCTACGCAAGGGTGCAGGTAGGATCTCCAGGGGTGCGAAAAACCAAGCAAAATCAGCAAAAACTCTACTTCAGTAGGAGATAACCAGGTGCGATACACAAACGCAGTTATGGCATGTGCATGAAGCCGACATGATAAAAAAAACACGCCCCCGCAAAATTTGACAGACTGCACGGGACACCAGTACGCCCTCAACAACCGAGAAAAGTCGTGTTGAGAAGCAACTGATCCCATTGCTTCTCCCATGGGCACTACTTGTATTGCTGTGAGCTTCCTCCCGGGGGTGTGAAGACAAAGGAAAGCCAAGAACGGAATGACCGAGACGGAATGACCGAGACGGAATGACCGAGAAACACAAAAAAACACTACTGGTACAGTGTACGATGGCAAATATAGGCATACCGCCCGTGCGAAGTCATGCACTACTCGGATACTCCTCATCAATTCCCACATGCCAGAAACGGGCACTGAGGAGCAAATAACGTCGAGTCGCGGCGACCAGTTTAATTTCATACAAATTCCGTAGTGAAGCGAAGACGTCAGGCCCTAACCAACGTTCAGAGAGATACAATGCTGCCCTACAAACGCAAGGTGCGAGCAAAGTTGACCGCGAAAGTTGGGGTGTGTGGCTATTTTGCCGCCGCTGCTTCGGCGGTGCTGATTCAGAACTGTACACGTAAAGTAGCGTATGCAAAAAAAATCGTGGCTGCAAGCAGGCACAACGTGTGAGTACATGTATACTCTAGACCACAACAAGATTTTCCTGCGCTTCTATGACACGGCAAGTGAAAATACGCAAAAGAAACACAAAGCTGCGCCAGATACGAAACATGTCCGCACGTGCCCATTGGTCATGAACCGAGAAACATAATTGACGACAACGAGCAGGCAAAGATACACAAACAAAAAAAATCAAGCGAACGTAACGTACCGTCGTTACCCCCATCTCCACGTCCCAGATGATGCAAGTGCTGTCTCCGGAGGAGGTAAGGATAGACTCCTGCGCCAATTCCATCAGCAGCAACAACATGGCCCATCGCCGACGCCACCAGCATCGCCAGAAGCAGCACAAACCAGCACCAGCATCACCATCGCCACCGGGCACAAGCCGCACCAAGCGCAGGCCCGTCCGCACCAACACACCGCCATTGCGGAGAACAAGCAAAAAAACGAGGGGGGGAGGGGAGGGGGCAACGGCAGAGTAGGAAAGAAGGAGAGGCTCAGAAGAGAAGCGGAGCGGGACAACGAAAATTAGTCTAGCTCCAAACTGGCGTCCAAATCTCTGCAAACACCATCTATTAATAGCGGCCTCGTCGTCTCCTACTGTGCCGGACAGGGTATCTCTGCCTTCATCTCGTGCTTGCCATTCTCTTTCTCGACGCCCCGGGTCTACCTTCCCACGCTGCGGCCCCTCTTCGGGAGGGGGGGCGGCGCCCAGCCTGGGGGTGGGGGAAACGCACACAGGAGTCCTTCGGATTTTCCTATGATACAGCAAGCACAGCGGCAGTCTTCTTTTTTCGCAGGTATATCGCTGAGGCCCCCTCCCTCCCTCGTCCACTGCTGTTCGCGCACGGACTGCGCTCCCTCCCCCATCCGGACACCTCCCCCTCCCCCCCCCCCTCCGGAGTTCCACCGCGACCCAAACCATGGACGGCAAACACACGCGATCCGGTCCTACAGGTCGAGAATGTGCATACCACACTCATACCATCCGCGCTCCCCCCACGCCAGCCAAAAACCAAAAACCAAGCCAAGGGCGGCTCCAGCACGAGACGTACCGGCGTGGGCGGGGAAGGAAACCACAACACGCACGTATGTATCTACTTCAAATTTGGTGGTGAAAATCTAACACACCGAGGTGATAAGATTGATCTCGTAGGCAGGGAAAATTGTCTTGGGCGGGTAAAAAGTCACCGCAACCCTGGGGTGGTGTAGTCCCTATCCACAAACTTCAGCGGTTGCACGCAGCGCGAGAACAGCGCGCCATCTGTTCCTGCCCGGTTGGCGAGTGTTCACGATTGATTTCTAGGTACGGAAGATTTCTGGCGCAGTAAATAAAATTCACAGCAACCCTGGGGTGGTTTCGTCCGCATCCACTACTGGAGCGGTGAATTGCACCACGTTTGCGTGCGTGCCGCAACAAAGAACCAGTAGAGAACTAAAGGGGACGTAATGTAAAATGCAGGTTACCTGTTCAGATGTTTTTGTACTTAGCACCAGCTAGTACACTGAAATAAATCATCACTATATGGACTTAATATATACTCGAAATAAGTCCAGTACCCAGCCGGTTTTCCTCCACTCACTGAAAAGACTCCAACACATCCCCTTCGACTGTGGGTGTACATCTCGAACGGGGACTCTTTCTGTGTGTGTGTGTACAATTTATTTTTCCTAATAAGAAAGAACAGCGCGGCCTTTGGTCTTACCTGGTTGACGAAGCGGCAGCAGGACAGGTAGCCGTCGTGAGCGGCCAGCTCTCTCGTGGCCCTCATCACGGTCGATTGTCCGAGCTCGTAGATCGAGCACAAGTTGTCCAGCCCCCCGCACGCTACGAATCGGCCCTGCTCAATCGTCCGTCCGTCCGTCCGTCCGTCCGTCCGTCCGTCCGTCCGTGCGTTTTCGTCGTGAGATGTGTCGTGTGTTCGTGCGCGAGAAACTTCGGTGTTTTGTACGTGTGGCTTGAGGTCGAGAACGCGACCAATTCCGCGGCAGCGTCATCGGCAGCGGTGATGGTGCCGGGACTCTGCTGTCGTGGCATGGTATTCTACACAAGAGTTTTAAATTGAAAATTGGGGACGAACTGAAACAAAAATATGCATACAACCAACCGTCAAAGCGCATCGAAATGAACGTGCGTCAGAGTCGGTACAAGATAGCGCCGACATGCACGGTATCTACGACGACGACCGCTTCAGAACACAACGACTAGCACCAGCCCCGCCACAATGACGCTAAACTACCACACCAGCAACGACGACACCAGCACGGTACTTGGTCGGTTAAAAACCGTGAAAGACCCCCACGGACCGCCTACGCAGGATTTGAAGAGTATCCAGAAAAGAATAGGGAGGGGGCACGCAGACCGTATCCCTAACCCTAACCCTAACCCCAAAGCACGGATTCAATACTTTATCCCATATGTTTGCTTGATCAATTTTGCTGCGTAGACTAACGAAACCCACCTGCGTCGGCTCGAAGGCGCACGTCATCACCCACGAAGAACGAAGCGGAATCGCCTGGACTTTGTTTGTTGTGTAGCCATTCCAGATGATCAGCTTTCCGTCCTACGCTCACACGGCAGCAGCAGCAGCAGCAGCAGCAGCAGCAACGTACACAGCGCCATCGTCATCATCAGCAGCAGGGGGGCCACTCCGCGAGTGATAAGGACACACGGGAGCACCGGGATGCTCACTCACACACACACACAAAAGAAGACTGGCGTCACTTCATTGGTCAGCCGGTCAGCGAGGTCGATGCCAACTAAAGAAACACACAACAGCAGTGAAGCGTTACCACGAGCGACAGTAGTTTCGTCATAAACCCATGGCGAGCGCATCACCACCCCTAGCTGACTGGCTCAGTCGCGTCCCTGCAGCCGCCTTGCCTGCCATAAACCAAGCCCTGCCTAGTATCAACAGGAACTCGCTGACGGTGCTGCTACACGATCCTACACCCTTGCTTGGTACACGGTGTAGGCATGGGTCACAAAAGACGCGGGCGGTCCGGGGGCAAGCACCCCCCCCTACCCCTCCTGGATGATGTGTCCACGTTGAGATTACCCAACAATTTCAACCAAGAAGGCATAGAACTAAAAACCAAGACAGCCGTGGTTGGTCAGCTTCCAAAGCTTCTGCATTCGTCTATGGACTATTCGTTGAGAATGCATATTCTTTTAAGTCAGTCATAGACAAGAATTGTAGAGGAAATCAGCTGACTTGTACCCAGCGAGGAGCATCGCGGCGTATGAATCATGGACAATACATGGGGGACTAAGGTGCTGCCCCACGCGCCGTGGATAACGAAAGCATGCACCCTTAAGGAGGAGGTGTCGTTGCGCATGGCTTCCGAGTTGAAAATAACGCCACCATGGAGCACACCGTATCGCGCTGTTTGTGCTGTACCACACTTGTACCCACCACCAGTGGTTGAATTCTGCGGCGGATGCGACCGACCTCTACTTCTTAAATACGCAAGCCGTCGTTGTGTATCCACTCCGTGTGTCATGCCACCGAGTATCTACAAAAGTATGCATAATACGGTTGGAGAAAACATGAGAAAAAAAAATGTTTCCTGCGCCTCTGCTATTGTAGGTGTGTGTGGAGTGTCGACGAGGCTTTCCAACAAACAAAATACCGTAGGCACAGGTTTAAGTTTTAAATGTACTATTAGTAGCCCTGACCCACCTGGAATGACACGACTACCACGTGTGGTGAAATGAACGCTTGCCAACCTTTTTTAGAAAGTACGCCAACCTTGGAGCCTCAAAACCTTAAAAGGGGATCGTACTCCATGCCTACCAGTCAGGCGTAACGACTCTGGGCACCCACACACGCCGTTTGTTGCTTCTTCAGCTGACAAGCGGTGTGTGCGCGTGTCATGTCTTCTGGTCGCTCTTTCGGAACTGCTGCACCAAGAGGCAGGCAGGCGCGCCTCCGGATGTGTTCATCTTGAAAAGCTGTCAATATCTATGATATTCACGCGTTGGTTTGTAGATTACACTTCCCCAGGGACTGTTGGTGATAAAAAAAAAAAAAGAGAGGGTTTTTCGTTTGGGCAATTGTACATAATCGAGGCCTGTAGATTCCAAGTCATATCACACATTATTATTTGTATTCATGTGTGATCTATAACTACGATCTTGTCTCTTCGGTAGTATTCGCGCTGCCGGCCGTTTCGGTCTGCGCCCCCCCCTCCCCACCCTCGCACTTTTTATACACTCGGGGACTTGTTCGGGGACTGGTTGTACTCCGCATGTAGACATCGATTGTTTCGGTCGGCATGCACGGCAGTGCATACGTGCACAGGGCAGGAAAGGTGTGACTACAGGCAACACGCGGCAAGCGGTAAAATGAGGCGTGCAGCTTGCCCCGCGGCGGGAGGCGGGACGTGCGTTTGTGTCTGGCAAAGGCGTCATGTCCGGGCAAGTTTTTCTATCTCCGTGTGCTTGAGAGGAGGTGTGGCGAACGGGGTGGTGTATCCATGTATCTCCTTAATTGCTGTCAATCCGTCCTCTCTCTCTCCGGCATCATCTCGGCTGACTGCTTGCTGTCATCAGCAGCATCCTCTGCGAGCGGCAACCGCCGTATGTCGTACGCATCCGCCCTGTCCATGCAACCGGGCCGAACCCCAGGGCATTGCAACACACCCGGCGATCTCTGTGCTACTACATACTGCTGAAGCATTGTTGTGCAATCAACCTCTCTCTCCATTCAATCGAGACAACATTGATGATTTTTTGTGTGCCGTGTGCAACAAGAAAATAGCGAGGGGAGAGGACAGAAGCACCGATCGATTTCTGAAAAAACTAATTTCCAGAGACACGCGCCGCTGGCGGTCCCAAGCAAGCTACGTATGCATCCCTACTCCTTGTTGTTTGCGTTGTTTGCTGGTGAGAGGCGCTCCGAAAGTTTTCGGCTGCGGTACAGCACACACCCTTCGCCTAGCACTTTGAGTGTGCCATGTGGCAGGGAGGGGGGGCAAGGCTGGAAACAGCTTCGTTCCAGCATGTGCCCAAACAACATCGGATCAGAAAAAAGCAGTATACACGCACATATACACACCACGGAACAGAAAAACACTGCCGAAATTGATTGTGTGTGAGCGGGAGGGTGGGCCCTTGGTACAAAAGAGCAAAAAAAAAAATGGAAAAATGGACTAGCTACCACAATCAGAGCCAAGAGGGAGGACAACGCAGCAGCAGCAGCAGAAGCAGACTGCGATTCATCCCAACCGGCACACTTCGTTCGCAGCCAGCCAGCGGCGGCGGCCCCACCGCAACGACCACGGGGATGCAAGCTCACCTGCGAAGCCGAAACCAGGTTCTGGTTATCCCCCGACCAGTGCATGGCATACACTTTTCCGAAGTGCCCCTTCAGGACACGGCGGGCCTTCAGGCCAGGCCCGAGGTTTTTTAGGTCTATTTGCGCCGCCGCCTCCTGGATGGAGCAGTCCTTCTTGTCGTTCTGCGCCTTGGCTATCTCGGACTTGAGCGCCTCCGCCTTCTTGCGGGCCACCGCCAGCCTCTCGGTCATGTCCGCCATGATGATGGCTGCTCGCCGTCGGCTGCAGCTGCCGCTCTATTTCCGCTTCTTGCCGGAAGGAAGCTCCTGCAGCGCGGCTTCTCTCCCAACAACAAAAAAAAACTCCCTTTTTCTTTCTCTCTCTCGCTCGCTCGCTTGTGTTGTTGGTCGGTCGAACGGCGGCGGGGTGTAGTTTGCCCAGCCACGCCCGGGTATGTCCGTCCGTTCTCCGTGCGAGCCTGTTCCGACGCCGCTAACCGAGAAGCAAGTCAGAGGTGTTGGTTCTTCTCCTCTTGTCACCTCGATCCACGCCTTGCTCGGCCCGTAATTGTGGCCTTGGCTCTCCTCTTCCACCCCTAAAGTCGTTCGTTTCCTTTTCTCTCTCTCTTCCTGTGCTCTCCTGCTAAAAAATCGCAACCGCACGGCGGCTTTCTCCCCCACACTCGTCGGGGAATGCAAAGCTCTCGAGGCGTCGGCTTAGCCCGTCTTGCCGTGTCGTCTCCGGCACCCACTCTCTTGGCGTTCTACGCGGAGCAGCGTGAGAGGGACACTCAGTCAGTCTCTGGTGCAGCTCGAATAATTAACAAGCCTTTTTTTTGTGTGAGTTGGAGAGCAGACACAGGAACCGCGCGCGCGCAGAGCGTTTCAAGGGGGTTTCGCGGTTTCGTGGAATTGTGATATTGGGTATCTGCTTGGCCCCCGCCCGACCGGCCAGAGCAGAGAGACGGAGATAGACACCGCAGCAGCAGCAGACACACAACACAAGGCTTTACCACCCCTTTACTGCTGTCGGGATGGCCCGGATCACTTCGGAATCGATGACGTCTTTGCAGCCTCGATCTTCCCGGCCTTCGTCTGCCCGCCAACACCAACAGCAGCGGAGACGCGGTGACAGCATAAGCGGTGGCGACTGCTGCAGCAGCAACCACGGCAGCAGCGGCAGCAGCGACGCCGCCGTTCAACAACAAGAAGACGGCGCCGCCAATAGCACAGCAAGCGAGACGCCGTCACCACCACCACCACCACCCCTTCCGCCGCCATTGCCACCATCAAAACGCATACGTCGCTTCGCTGTTTCGGTCCTGGGGGTATCGTTTCTTCTGGCAGTTGCTGCGTTGTTTCGCCCCGTACCCACCGGGCAACGCCCAGGTGGCCCGGGCAGCTACCGACGATTTAATGACGACGGCGGCGGAGACAACAGCAGCATCGTGCCAGAGCTGCCGTTCCTGGAGGGAGCGGACGGCGCGGGGGGGGAAGGGAGGGCGAACGCGGCTCACTGGATGCGCGTGCGGTCGTCGGGTGCCATGCACCCGGCGATGTACGTCCCGGCCGATGGGATGATCTACTGTCCGATAGCCAAGGTGAGATGATGTGCCTGCTGTCGTGTATACTTGTATAGCATATGCTTCCGTTCCAGCGGAGAGAGACGGAGGTTGAGGCAGCAGCAGTGGCCGGTGTTTCGAGAGACGGCATCACCTGGATTGTTTTTGGTTGCAGTCTTTGTAGGCTTGTTACTTTTTGGTGGTGGCGTTCACCGTGCCCAAGGTGGACCTGCAACTGCTACCTTATTTTTCTCATCTCTCCGTTGTCGGCGAGAGAAAGGATTCTGAACTTCGGATGCGCGGTGTGAGCGTACTACGCTCATGGTTGACGCATGGCCACCACTCTACAGCTTGCACAACAGAACGAGTGGCCATCCTCTCTACATACTTCGCGCTTCACATTTGCACACCGATGAACCTTGATTGTCTTCGTTTTCTGCGTAACTTTGGAACGACAAGTCAAACTACGTAGGCGTTGTCTACATCGTCTGAGCGGGGGGGTACACTTGTGTAGGTACAGGTACGCACATGTACGGAGTGCACACAAGAGCATCGTAGATGTTTACATAGTAAAAGCAACCTGAGCCTCGATCAACCACCAGTCGGTATCTATCTTTTGCGGCCGCAGGCATCGGCGCAGCGACAGGTGCAGCAAAAACTTTGGGAGCATTGCAGAACTTGAAGATGTCACCTACATATAGACCTCCTCCTCAACCCAGTTGCACCCGACTCCGGTTGAAAAATGATCTGTCGGCAGATAGCACTTTTCACCACTTGCACCCGCCGGCACGTCTCTCCAACCATAACTATCACAACCTAGAAAGAGGGAAGGGGATGCTGAACGTTCTCGCGGTTGAAAGTATTAAGGCAAGAACGGCAGGAGGAAAGGCGGAGGCGAAACAGCCTCCTTTATCGCCCTCTGTGCAACCCCGGCTCGGTGCATCGAGAGGTGTGTTAGACTAGGCGCCCAGAATAGATAAGATGAAGACAACACTTAACTGAAGCAGCAGCAACAATGGCTGCCAAAGAGACAATGTTTCCAACAGCAGCATTGTTTCTGAAGCGACCTCTCTCGCGCGCGGGAGGGATCTCGACCTGCTGTATCAAAGCTCGACCTGTATGAACGACAGCTGACGGCGTATGTGTAGAGATGCAGGTGAGCACGCTGAAAAATTTGCTCCCTCTCGGGGCTGTGCTTGTGTGGTGTACGTTGCCACTTTCAACCTTAGGGCTCCTCGCAGGGGGGAAGGGGCGGTGCCGGTTGGCTGCTGGGATGTGTTCCGTTTTTGAGCGGCGGACCGCCGTCCCAAACGACACGACGACACCACCGGCCTGACCTCTAGATCTTTTTTTTTATTTCATCAATATGACCCAACGAATCCATCTCTATCGAAGAAAAGAGTCTGAGATAGATTAGCAATGAATCCATAGCATCAGCAAAAATTATGTTTTTGCTACAGTTGCACCGTGCTACTGCCGCAAGCGTTGACAACAACCCTGGAAGCCGTATCCAACCTCCAACGTCTAATCCCCCAAGACGAGAATAGGCGTGAAGTGCCGACGTTTACAACCCTGCGACAGTGTCCAACCTTCAACATCAAAAGCCCCTGGAGCAACTCAAGATTAAGCGTCGAGTGCCGACGAAGGCGTGGATGTTATTCCACCGCGTCTTCTGCTGCGTACCTCAGGCAGGCGGATATGGATCCCTGCCCCCGCGGGCGAGAAAAAAGAGCGCCGGATCTGAGCTGGATTTATTTTCCATCCCGTTGGATCGTAGGCACGGTGTGTCTTGAGTCGGATGCACGTGCAGCGTGGCACATTTAGACAGGGGTGGGCGGCAGATGCGTGATCGCAGCTGCCTGGTTGAAAACAATACCCTCCACCGCTCTGGCACCGCCTGTGTGCTTTCCGCGAGAGCCCCGTTTTGACCAGATTTCGTCCCGAATCCTGCTGTGTTGTTCTTCTCTCGCGCGCGGGCCCGGGTTTCCAAGGTGGCTTGTGCGGAATGGCGGAAGACGCTGAGATGGATGCTCGGGATACCGGACTGGGATACGGGACCAATACACGACCAGGTGAGGGGGTGGGTGCTGCATCTGCTACCGGTGGTTTCGTTCGATCGCAGCAAGTCCTAACCGCCGCGCACTATTTTTTTTTCTTCCATTGCCGCAGCCGTGTTTCCCAAACAACGCATATAACCCTCGATGCTACCCCTTGGGAAGGTGCGTTTCTCGCCGACGTGGCTTGCCATTTTGATCTCGTTTTTTCTTCTTCCCGGCACCCTTTGTACCGGGATCTTACCAACGGAGGGTGGCCGCGATGGTAACTATAATAGCGCACGTGGCGTTTTTTTCTTCGTGTCACAGGGCAAGAACGGAATACCGCTGCTTGCCCGGAGAAAGGCCCGCGACATCGAGCTTATGATGAACGACGATAGCTGGCTCAAGTGAGTAGAAGGAAGGGACGGTTCGTCCATGTGTTTGTCGCGCCATCTCTGTTGCGGCCGCGGTATAGATGTAGAACGGGTTGAGGTGGTACTTCTACTGACGGTGCCCCCCCCCCCCCCCCCCGAAAAAAGGACCAAAAGGAAAACCCTTTGAGAAATAACGGAAATTTAAAAAAAGGAAAAGGAAGAAAAATTTTTTTGAAGGGCCCCTTGACTATGCGAAAAAACTGAAAATTGAATTTTCAGGAAGGGAACTGGAATTTCCCAAAAGGGGGAAAAAGGATACCCACCCTTGGAAAAAAGAAAAAGGGGAAAAAACCCCCTTTCCCTGTGGGAAAACCGGAGAAAAAAAAACCCCCATAATTTGGGGAGGGGAATTTTACAAGAAAGAAAAAAAAGAACTCCCCAAAGAAAAAAAAAAAAAAAGGGGTGAAAAGGAAAAATTTGGGAAAATAAAAAAAAACCAAAAAAACAACCCCATAAATGGGGGTAAAAGGGGGGGACAAAAAGCCCCAAAAGAAGGGGAAAAGAAGTGCCAAAAAATTTTAT